TGTTTCGACGTCCTTGCCTTCTTCAGAGAGCATTATTACACCACGAATGCGGTATATTCCACATATTCTATATGTAGACCAAAAGACAATCTTCCGAGAAAAATCGACTCCCGCTACTGCTAGAGATATAGAGTAGCGGATTACTCCTTGTCTACAGAGAAAAGGTAACCCCTGAAGGAGGGTACGGTGAGACGTCAAGCAGGCAAGTGCAGTCTTGTTCCTGCCCATGACGGGAATCGTTAGGGGGTTGAGTTTGGCACAACGTCAGCACGCTTTCCACCAACTGTTTTTTTTTCTTCAACAATTGGAGGAGAACAGGCTGGCGCGGCGCCAAACCCAGCCTCCTGAGAAGTACCACCATCCGCAGCGAAGACGACTGAAATTGTCCCACCTAGAAATCTAGCATGAAGAGGCAACAACAACAGAGAGCTGGCGAACAGAGAGTACGGTCTACTTCTACCCTTCGTTGGACTACAGTGCATCCCAAAATGGGTTCAGCCTTTAGTGCTTCACGCAAAACTTTTGGAACCCCTAATTCGGCCAAGTCTGGCGTTTTCGGCATTCACTTCGAAGTTCTGGCGGAGTGCAATACTTACGTCATTATTCCTGCAAACTAGAGGGCGTATGAAGGGACGTGATTTGGGGTGCAGCCAAGGGAGGCTCTTCCACCAACTGCTGCGAGCTTGGAATGGTGAAGTCGCCCTGACTGCGCACTGGTCATTCAACTGCAGGAAGCTTACCTACTAGGTGTCTACTCCTTTCAAATAAAATTTCGGCAAAGTGACAGGAAGTTGAGGAAATTCAGAAAGATGGATGTGGGGGCCGTAATTTTGCAAAAAAAGGCTCCAACGGGCAGGACGCGACCGGCCCAAGACTTCGCTGAAGCTTCCCGTCAAGCGCCATTAATGAACATCAGCGCTATTCCAAATTTTGGCACTCCAAAACCTTTCAGAAACTCCTTCTTGGTCGACCCCTATTCCGTCATTGAGAAGCACCAGTGTCAAACTGGCCCCAGGTGCAAAAACAGAGCGCTGACTTCAATCATTTCGCTGGCGGTGGGCTGCCCCTTCTCAAAAGCAGACCGGGATACTAACTGATAAGAGCAGCAGTTTCATGAGAATTCAATACGATGCAAGGAATTTAAGATAATCTCCAAAAGGAAAATATTTGATTCCTAATCGACAACTTAAGGTCCCCCTCTCACGTTTTGTATGTTACCGTACCCGACGAAAAAAGGTTTTGCATCCAAGACATGCTGTCACTCCATAGTGATGTCCAGTGTTCGACGCTCGTCCACAGACCAGACACACCATCGGTTTCAGCTCCATTTCAGGTACTGAATACACCAACTAATCAATTACTTTGCACATATAGTTCAGTATGAACCACATGGCCCTCTAGGACCTACCTCTTGCGTGATAAAATAACGTCTCACCGTCACTACTGCTAAATGTCATGATACTGTGGCGATGTTGCTGACAATGACACCTATAAAACGACGTATGAACTAAACGAAGAGCCAGACAAATGGAGCGACAGGTTACGGTATTAAGAACGAACGCGAAGAAGGGGCGACGATGGGGGTACGTCACGGCGCGAGGCCACCACCGTCATCGCCGCTGCCGCCGTCAAATATCGAAAAAGTGCGACGTCGACGCGGGCGGTGTTCTTGAGACCGCCGCGACGACAGATCTCAGTCGACGAGGTTCACTCAATGAATGACGTACGATGCGCGGTGGAGTAGGAGGGGGAGTCAGGACAAGGTTAGGAGGTTGTCTTTACCTTGCTGTGCTGATTGACCTTATGAAGTGAGGAATAGGAACATTCGAGGGCGTCTAGAGTGTAAAAGAAACCAACCCAGGAAAAACATGCGTTGTCCACGAATGGCTGGTTTGGAAGTGGACGTCGGTTTCCTGCGTCTTGGTTAGAATAGATTCGAGCAATAATACGAACGGATATTTCAAGAAACTCGAGTGTTTGATATTTTTAGGGTGTCAGGATTCCCCCGAAAAGATTTCGGGAATCCGATGACAAGGCTAAGTCTTGAATATGGTTCGTCTGTTTTGTAGGCAGATTATAAGGTCGTAGGCGCAGGACGGAAATCACATCTGAAAAAGGTACCCATCACGGGGGCAGTCCGGCGACGGGAGGAGGGGAGGAGTAAATTTTCCACTTCTGCTGCTTCCCATCGACGTGTTGACCCCTCTACAGAGCCGTTTCGTGAGCTTTCAAGAATTACCAGCTTTTACCATGGTGGCTAACGAGCTTGCTCCAGCTTCACATGAGTTCACAGGTTTCACCAGAGTGAGACTTGTAAATCGGAACTAGGGGAAGCAGCGAATGTGCAAAATATGCCCCCCTCCCACCTCATCGCCGAACTGCGCTCCCGTCACATCTGACCCCGTAACCAATACAGGTCTCATGCTCTTCAAGAATCTGTTGCGAAGAAAGACATGAAGACTGGCTCATAGGTAGAGGTTAAGGATATGAAAGCGCATGCTTTTTCTCTGACACGGTACTTGAAATAAGAAAATGCGTCACGACTGAGATTCTCATGAATGGGCCTTCTTGATCACCATCAGACTTACAAATTGTTTAGATCTTTTCTTAAGAAAAAAGGAACTCGTAAAAATCGACTGGTCTGTAAAACGCATTTGCATCCAGTAACAGTCCTTATCCCTGAGGCGGAGTAGGTCTGGTGCTTTGACATGGCATAGAATGGGTTACTGTGGAATACTGTGAAAGTGTGCAATATTTCAACTTGAGACAACTGTCATGTCGTTCAGTGTTGAACAGAAACATGACCACAGTTGTGTCAGAATGAAATATGTTACCAAAAGCACAACCCACCCCCCACCTTTAGCTGAAGTACGCAGCC